TCCATCATCTCTACACCTTCATCCTCACCAGGGTCATGGGGGGCGGAGCCTATCCCAGCTGACTCAGGGTGAAGGCAGGTTCACCTGGACAGGTAACCAGTCTATCACAGGGCTACACTTAGAGACAGACAACCAAGCACACTCACATTCACACCTACGGACAATTTACAATCACCAATTAACCTCAACATGTTTTTGGACTGTGTGGGAGGAAGCTGGAGAACCCAGAGAGAACCCACGCTGCACGGGGAGAACATGGAGACTCCACGCAGGAAGATCCCGGGTGTCCTCACCGGGACGTGAACCGGCCCACCTGAAACAACCCGCCTCAAATCTGAGATCTTCAGCAGGAAGCACCCAGAGCTCTCCTCTGGTTCTTCAAGCTCTCTCCTCGAGGCGGGTGTTAAACTACCTGAGGAGGCATCAGAGCGCCGCGTCACACGGAGCTGATGAGCAGAGTCACAATAAGCTCCCTGAACTCGAAGCAGTCTGCTGAAGAGACCTCCTGGATGAAGGTGGAACACCCTCGAGGACCATGAAGACAGTCTGGTTCTCCTCTACTGAAGCCCTTCAGGACCACAAACACCCTCAGAGGCTGAAACTCCACTTGTGAGAGTCGAACACACCACGGTGTGGCTTCTGTCCCGTCCGTGAACACGGCGCGAAGCCTCCGGTTTGATCGTCACCAAACGCTTTCTCTGACTCATGGAACATGTTGGAGATGTTTCCTGTCTGTTGTGTGTCAGGTCTTTGTCTGGTCCTGAACGTGTGCATGTTTATGTGTTGTCTCCACCGTCCTGCTGACAGAAGACACCTCAGACTTCTCTCTCCTCCTTGGTGTTGCTCTGTTTCCATAAACTGATGGGATGCTTTGCAGCCTGGACCACAGTGACGAGAGCTGCAGGATTTGTGTGAAGTGGAAACTCTGGCATGTGGAATGTGTGTTTTGGAGCTGCGAGGAAAGTGGATTAGTGTGTTTGTGTTGCTGTGCTGAGCAGCTGTGGTCCAGGTGTGCAGCAGGACAGAACCCTGATATCTGATCCAACCAGCGGTCCCCATCAGGCGGCTCACAGCGGCACAGAGGTGTCGCCTACGTCTCCCAGAATGCCCTGCAGCAGCAGCCAGGCTACACAGAACAGGGCTCAGTGTGCACGCAGACACTGTTTAAGACTCAAATCAAGTCTGAAGCTCAAATCATGGAACTTCTTAATTAATTCATTAGTATTTGTGACTTTTCACTGCGATTTTGTGTCTTTTTGTGTTGATTTTGTGTCTTTTTGTGTAGATTTTCCATCTTTTTGTGTAGATTTTCCATCTTTTTGTGGCGCTGCTGCATCTTGTCGTCGGGGTTTTGCCTCCATGCGACTGTCAGCAGGACTAAACCACGTCAACTGGAGACCAACAGGGACGCTGAAGTTATTTTCTCAAAAGATTGTGATGATTTTGTGGCTATTTTCACCTTTTCATGGGCACTTTGTGTGTTTTTGTTGTCATGTTTGGAGCAGTTCTGCCACTTCTTTTGCGTTTTGTTGCGGCGTGGCCTCAGACAGCCGTAGTCACGGCGATGGGGATTGTTCACGTCTTCTCTGCTATTCTGCACCTTTTTGTGCTGTGTTGTGTCACTTCCTGTTGTGCCGCGTCACTTCCTGATGTGTCTGAGCCGCTCCCGTCCGAGTCGCCGTGGAAACGTTGGTATTTTAGCTCGTTAGCTGCTGCTTTATCCACCGTTACATAAAACACGTTTGGGCCAAAAATAACATGAAGCAGCAGCCGGCGGCCACGTTTTCTCTCCTTTCTTTCTTCCTGCCTGCTTTTGTTCGACGCTGCGTCCGTCTCCGATGATTATCCGTCTGTTTGTCTCTCGCCGAGTGTCACCGTTTAATTGGACGGCCTCCTCCTCCTCCTGCGGCCTCATGGGAAAGTATGCAGACACATTTTGATTTGATTATGGCTCACAAACCAAACTATGCTGCGTCGCATTCCAGCTCCGGCAGACACTGGAGGAGCTGGTGGACGGTTCCATTCCCCCGTCTTAGGGGATCTGGGCTGTTGTTGAGGTGAACTTGTGTCCGTTTGTGTTGTTTTTGGGCCTTTTTTGTGGTGATTTTCAGAAACGTGGCACAACTGATCAAAAGCAGAAGACGACTAAATTAGTCGACGACGACTCAAAACTGAGATGAGTCAGAAAAAAAAGGAAAATGACTTGAATCTGGTTCAGAATGACGTCAGTCGTGTGCAAAACAACTCTCAATTGTCCAAAACTATGAAGTCTATGGAGAATTACTCAAATCTTCCTCTAAATGGTCCAATATTTGCCCAAGACAACAAAACCTGATGAAAAATTTTGTCCTAAAGTTTTCAAAAATTGTGTCCAATGAACCCAAAATTATGAAAATAAACTCCAGTGACTCGGAACGCGTCCAGATTTACAGAAAAACTCCACAAAATCCATCCAAAAGGACTCAAAGTTTGTCCAAAGTGAAAGAAGCCTGTCTGGGTGGAGATTTGTCCAAAGTATCTTAACACGTGTTCAAATGTCTCAGGTTCGTCTAACATGCTCATCAGAATGACTTCAACCTTGCACATTTCTAAACTAACACAAAACATCTTCTGAACGGCCTCAAAAATCATCCAGAACAACTCAGTTTGTGTCCAAAATGACTAAAAATAAAGAGTCAAAATAAATCCAGGATCACCCAGAACCTCACAGGTTGGAAATGACTTCATATATTGTGGTCAGAGCAGCCGGAGCACCGAGGACTTCAATCAACCTTCAGCTCCTGCATTGTGCCCCCGTGCTGCTGTGGAGTTCTGCCTTTCTGCTCCAGAAGCCTCCAGAACGCACAAACACACTTTATTTCCACTTTCAATTCTTGCTTTGAGAGCTTTGTTTGGGTTTGAACTGCTTCGGCCGCATTCTGTGAAAATCATCTTTACTGTAATAATCAGATCAGCTCGGGCCGAGCGTCCAGCAGAACTCACAGGTTCTGGTTGTTTTGGCTGCCGGATCAGAGCAGAGCGGTCGAGGCTTCACACACTCGGGTTCTGTTCTGAAAACACGGTTTTCTTCCAACAACGATTTTGTTTCTCATTGAAGCAGTTCTTGTGAAAATAAGCACATACTTCTTTATCTCTTCCTCTCCCTGGATGTTTCCTCTCTTCTCTTTCCCAGATGTTTCCACTGAGTGGTTTCTATCAGCCCGGATCAGCGGATCAGCGGAGCCGGACCGAACTCCAACAGCAACACCAGCAGAGTTTCTGCAGAAGACGCTCACCAGCCAGAGGAACGCGCTCGGCCCGTTCGCTCTGTTCTGACAGGTTCTGGCTGATAAATGGGCCCCGTTTGGGCTCGATTTTCTTTACTTTACTTAGATGTGTGTTTTGAGGTTCAGAGGGTTGGAGGAAGGTTCTGGTTCTGCAGGGTCAGAACCTGGAGGAGGACGGTTCTGGTTCGTTCAGGGCCCGTCCAACAACTCTCTGTGTCTTTGACGTTTCTGGCTGATGAGTTGTCGTGATTCTGTCACAGCAGCCGGACGGTTCTGGAGGTCGGCGTCCGTACAGGAGCCTCAGGTTAACCCGGTTGATGACATCACAGGGCTGTGAGCGAGTCCTGGACGTCCAGCGAAGGCGGCTGAAGAACAGGAAGCGTCTCTGCAGCTTCCTCTGGTTTCCAGCAGATTTGTGGTTCTCGATGGATGAGTCCCGGCGGACGCCTCGGAGGAGGCTGACGTCTGACGCCTCTACAGGATCTCACTCAGGCCGAGTCCTGACTGGGAGTCTGGCCTGATCCGTTTTGTGATTTGTCACCTTGAGCCCTCTGCTGGGCTGCATTAATCATCCGGCCTGACAGCTGTTTAGGTTTGAGACCAGGTCAGAGGAGGGAGTTCCCACATCCTGGAAACACCTGGAACACTCGCAGTTCCTTGATGCTGCTTTCCAGGAACGACGATGTCCCACTCCATCCCAGCGCTCCGCCGGCTTCCAAGTACGTCTCCACTCACTGACAGAACCGTCCATGTTTCGCCGCTCCTCGTCCAGAGACTGCAGGTTTTCTGATTCTGTTCTGCTGGTTTGTGGGTTCACGCTGCCGACCCGCTCCGAGGTCACAAGTCATGCTGCGGTTCCGGGCGCTCGGCCAACGAGACGCCGCAACGGCTGCTCGTTAAAACTTTATTCATCCGGAGAGAGCTGACAGGGCTCCACATGTTCCCACTGGGAGAACCCCAGTACGGCCAGTCTGCTGCTAATGCTAGCACACGGCTAACGGACACCACGGCTAGCCACCACACACACTCAACTCACAGGGAAGGAACCATGAAGCAGATGTAGAACATTGGAGGAACCATGAAGCAGCTGTAGGACCTTGGAGGAACCATGAAGCAGCTACAGAACCCTGAAGGAACCATGAAGCAGATGTAGAACATTGGAAGACCCATGAAGCAGCTCCAGGACCCTGAAGGAACCATGAAGCAGATGTAGAACCCTGAAGGAACCATGAAGCAGCTACAGAACCCTGAAGGAACCACGAAGCAGATGTAGAACATTGGAGGAACCGTCATACTTCCCTGTGGTCAACAGGGAGACAGAACGAAGGCGTTTTAACTGCCCGAACCCCCAAAAAACATATCTTCACAAAACAAGAACCACCAAAGCGAACCCGTTCACCAGCCACAAACTGTGAGAAGAGAAAGAACCGCGGCGTGGTCGAGTTCACCAAAGCCGCTGACCACGAGTCAGGAGAACAAACTGACCTTCATCAGGAGGTCTGGTTCCACCGGCTGATGTCAGGACTGCTGAAGTGTAGAAGGTCCGTGTGGGCGCAGACGTAGGGAGTGAAAAGAAACCGACGGTGTCGCTTCAACAGCTCCGGACTGGCAGTCGGCGTTCCACAAGAAGGCACTCGAGCTACAAGTGTCTCTGGAAATAAACAGCCGGTCGCTCCGTCAGCGGGCCGCAATTACCGTGAAGAGGGAACAGGCTGTACCGGCGACGGAGCCGAGCGGCCGGCAGGACGAGCCGGAGCTCGGTCCCTCTGAAACACAGAAACACGACAACCGGCTGATGTTTGGGCCTCGTTGCTGTGGTTTCACATCACTTTGTGGCTGTTTTGCATCTCCTTGTGGTTGCTTTGTGTCTCTTTCTTCTTTGTTTGTGTGTCTTTGTAGCTGTTTTGTGTGTCTTTGTAGCTGTTTGTGTGT